GTCAAATAATAAGCTGTAAACATTAAAAAAAATATAATTATGCTAAAAAGTACCGTGTTTTCCTTATGCCATTAAATGATCGTTGGCCATAAGGGGCCGTTGATTCTTAGTTTCTCCCGTATAATTTATAAAAAGGGCTATTTTTTAAATTTGCTAAGATCGAAAACCCCCAAAAAATATACTAAAAAAATTTTTTTTCTCTTATCTAACAACTTTATTACCAGAACAACAAAGTCCTGGAGCTTAATTTCTACAGTTTTTATCGCCACAAAAATACAAATACATTTTCTACTTATTTCAAAAACTGGTGGATTTAAGAGATTACTGTGAAAGTACAATGAAAAGCTGAATTCTCACGTACTGGATTACTTATTTGTCGATTTTGACGCTGCTGTTCCAATCTCGATAAATTTTCTGCGTCAGTTTCTTGACGCCTAAAATTGTATTCATTAGATACATTTGAAGTTTTCCTTCCAGTGCGCCCACTTACGATTTTTGTGACCCCTAAAGGCTATTTTCTGTCAACTTTGTTAAGTTCTAATAAGGTAAAATGGGGTATAGTGGGACAACGCAGAAATTGCAGGGTAGACAGGAGGAGAAAATCATAACTATGGTAAATTTATTTGTCAAAAAATATCCTAAAAAACATTTCCTTATATTCCTTTATCTTTTAGCTAGATAAGACTTCCAAAACTGATTGTGGTAAACGTTCAAGGGAGAATAAAAAAAATATTTTATTAAGCTGTCCAAGCACTCGTTTGATGCATACGTCTTAAATAAACCATTTCGCCCATTTTAGATGTGACATTAAAGTTGACTATTAAGATGATATAGGGTAACTGTGGGTATCACTGGCACTTTTTTGACTTAGGCTACTTAAATGTATGGTATTAAAAAGAAAAATGTATTAATCTAATACTTTTTTTTTATTATTAACTTTATTTAATAACACACAATAAATGATTTTTTAAATAGACATAAATAAGATCATATTATTAATAATAAATATTTTTGTGAACAGTCAACATGCAACTATTACTGACACCATGCACGTATTACTGGCCCCCCAATACTGTCTAAATTTGAATTACTGGCCGTGTAATACTGGCAAATATAATTTTTAACCCTTATCACGTAAAGTCACAATAAAATCTACCTAATCTAATAAAATCTATGATAATTGAAAAAAAATAGTAAGATTTAGCTATCAATGTGTTTTAATTTTGTTTGCAATTCGCTGATTTGGTTCTACAAATCTTTTTGTAATTTTATCTTCTCTAAAATTTCTTCTTGGGATTTATTTTTGTTCAATTTCATTAATTTTTTTTTGGTGTGCAACAAGTTTGACCTTTTCTTTTTCAATTCTAGTTTGTTGTTTGATAAAATTTTTTTCTTGCTTGATTCATTTGTCGTTTTCTCTTTTTATTTGTAACATTTTTGTTTTCTCTGATCTCATTTTTTTTTCTGCTGCTGTTTCCAATTTAACAACTGTATTTTTTTTTTTCTTTACTGATTTTTTGCCACAGAGGACCTGATATAACTGATGGAGTTTTAGTTCTACTCTTCTTTTTGTTTACTGAATAAAAAATATCTTCAGAAGGCCACGACAAATACTGAGCAAGAGGCTTTAGTGGTTGATTACTTTGTTAGGTTAGATTGCTGTACCTTACCGAATCACTGCCAGTAAGTTAACAGTAGCGACAAATATTGTACCAAATACTGGCATAAATATTTAAAAAAGAAAAAACATTAAAAATTAATTTTCATTGCATTTATCAAAAAATTGAGGTTTTTTTTAATTCAATAAATTGTTTCTTGTGTGATTTTGCCATGTTTATTAATAAAAATACCATTGAAAGCAAGTCGCTTTTAAGGTCATGGGACGAGAAGCTGCCCGAACATGTGTTCGCTTACAACACAGAGAGGCACGCTTCCACGGGCTTCTCACCCGCGATGCTTTACAGCGGTAGAGAACCGTACGCCCCAGGTACGATGCGCCGACAGGTCGATTCGACAGACCAGCAACGCCTAGAGGATGAGGCAATAGAGAGCTGGAAGCAGCGTATGGAGCGTCTGCCGATGCTGTTCGTAGAAGCAAATCAGCGAAACGATAAGGCACAGGCCAATGCCACTCGGCATTACAATGCCAAGCATCGCGACGTGGTCTACATTCCTGGTGATCAGGTATGGCGGGAGAACCACATCTTGTCCTCGGCAACGCAAGGCGTGGCAGCGAAATTGGCTCCAAGGTACGCCGGCTTCTTTACCGTCCGGAAGGCATTGGGTTCCAACACGTACGAGTTGTAATCCGAGGAAGGCACGCAATCAGGCCCCATTCACGTGAGGCAGTTAAAGCCTTACGTGAGCAGACCCTCTGCTACGGCGAGAGAAGATCCTCCTGAAGATTCGGGGTCCGAAGAAGAAGTGGCTAGCGTTCCTCAACCACCGTTGGAAAGCGGCGAACAGGCGAAGCGTGACCCGCCTTCAGCGAATCCACCCAATGTAAGCGAGGCTGCCGGATCAACCAGGCCAAAGCGAGGCCGCCCGCGTAAAGCGATAGTAGTGTCGAAGCCATCCGCCGCGGCTAAGACACCTGCGAGCGATGGCAGACCACGCGACGATGTCCGAACATGCGACCGAGCGATGGGTCCATCGCCAAATGACGCGCGATGCTTGCGACCTCGACAGCTAACGAGATGTTAGTTTTGGAAGAGCCTCCACCCAAACCGATCCCTTTTTTTTTTTTTTTTTTTCTTTCTCTCCTCTCTCCCAGTAATCGTCCCTAGAGCCTTTCCAAATGGCGCCTAGGAGGTAGAGTTGGATACCTCCAGTATCCAACGTCTAGTCGGGGGGTGTGACGGTGAGATACCGTCGAGCCATGATCGGTAGGCTAGGACCGATAGGGAAAGAAGGAAAAGGGAAAAACGGAGAGGACAGTTAGGAAAGGATGGAAAGGGAAGAAAAAGCCGAAAAGGGACTAGATTACCTTGGGCCAGCGAACGCGCGTGGAGCGAATTTTTGTTGGGGGTTGCGAGAAGCAATTTCCTCAAGGCGATTTCCACCACCTGCGAGAAGCGAATTCTGTTTTGGAGGACGTGAGACGCGTCCTCTGGAGTGTTTCCGTTCCTGCGATTGTTGTCGTGGCGGCTGTGCTTGAGCTTTCCCCGGTACAGTGTTTGGTGCTGAGTGTCCGGGTCCTGCTGGGATAGCAGACGACGCCGGACTCAGGGTCACCGAGGCCGATACCGTCGATCTCGGCCTTCGAACGCTGCCAGTAGGGACGCCTACTGACCTCAGCGTAACCGCTCCACTGCTCCCGTGTAGACTTGGCCTGCGAGAGGCATCGTCGGGGAGCGACCCCGCTTCGCCGTAAGTACCTGCCAACAGGCAGTTTATTGTAAAGGGCAGCGGCCCTAGATTAGCCCGCGTTGTCTGCCCGGTTCGCGTTTTCGCGCCGCGAGCACGTCGAGCAAGCGCGCTCGACGTGC